TACTTATTTTATATATGTAATATCGTAGTAGATAAAATATCTACTGACCTTGATATATTAAATGTATCAAATGAAATATTTTATTTTTTATCTCTATTATATACTCTATATACTATATTTTCGTTTAATTTAGTAAGTTTCAACTATACTATCGAAATTTCTTAAATTTAAAAAAATCGATATAATTAAAATGTAGGTCTGAATTGTATTTATTTTTTTTTTCAAAATACATTAAATTGAAATAAATGAAATAAATAACTCAAGATGAAGTTTAATACATCAATGATTAAGCATTTGTAAAGGAGCTATCATCACCAAAGTTTCAACTTCTAAGACTAATATTATTAATATTTTCGAAATGATATCGCTCACGACACAATCCTATATGATGATAGCTTCTCAGATGCTGAGTAGAATATAATTAATTTTTACTTATTTTAAAGCTAAACAATTACTTATATTATACATAGGATTTAATTAACGCGATATCCTATAACGTATTTCAGTATATAAAGTCTAGCGTCACAATAAGTTTGTTAATATGCAATGCAAGCAATTAAACAATTATTCCATTAATAAAATAAAATAAAAAATTAAAGTGACTCATTTTGTTTATTATAATATTTATTCAATTCGTCGTGATGTTGTAAGTATAAAGTTCCATTATATATAAGATTACGGTAGTAGTAATATAGCAGAAAACAACTTATGGCAATCCACCCTTCGCTTTAATTCAATCCTAATAAGCCGTACGCGTGAAACACTACTGAAATACCAACTGCAATGTCGTTTAAGCAATTATTATCAATTATTTTGTAATTTTATTTTGTAATTACATCTTGTAATTGAAATTTTTCACATTAATTAAAAAACCATAATGAAACAAAAAAGAAACAAAAAAATCGATTTTCTATAAGTAATTCATAACATATGATATAATAATCTAATATATGTATATATATATATATATATATATATATATATAAAGTTGTGAATTAAAGTCAATATGATAAATACGTAGCACAATTACATTGTTTTGCAAAGAATTATCGATCTTGAGAATCGGCTCAATGCTCTCGAGAGCAATAAATCGCGATGAATAATTCTCGTAAGCAAGCTTTTGAAATCGCAGATAAATACGAGTATGCGTGCAGAAATATGTAATAAAATCGACGATTAAACTCATTACACAATTCCAACTTACAATGCGTATTCGAAGAAACATTCGGCAACAACAGAAAACACGCGTACATCCTATATAATTCGCCTTCCGAAAACTTGCATATCGAAACATCGAAGTCATGCCGACTTACATATTATAGATTCGTTGTACGGGCCGTGATTCATTCCGCGAAATGCTTAACGAGCTTTACTTTGTTATTTCGGCTACGCCCACGTGCTCTAAACGCATTCAAAGGATTTGGAAAATATATATTCTCTCTCTCTCTCTCTCTCTCTCTCTCTCTCTCTCTCTCTCTCTCTGTCTCTCGCTCTCTCAACATGGAAACAAGCGTCGCGATTGCATCACGTTCGAAGCTCGAGCAAAGTCGACCTCAATTCAGAAATTTCCATGAATAGCGTAGGCGTTACTTTCGCCAAAAGTCATCTTTAGCGTCCTCGGTGCTCCTCGTTGCTGCCCATTTGATTCACGAGTCACAATTTTATCGCTTAATATACGGAATTATCGTCGAATTATATCACTTAATGCGATTTGCATGGAACTTTTCTGCCCCCTATGGAAGCTCCAAGCCTTTTCATGTTAATTAAAAGATTTTTGCCGTTCGTTTTGCTTTCGATTCTTCTTTTTTTCCTATATCCTTCTCTGAAAGTTGCGCTTAATTTATACATCGGTAAGTCGTGTGTACGTACGCTGATCAAACAACCGAATTAAATATTAAAATTAAGTGCATATCGAGATAAAGAAATTTTTTTTTTTTTCTTTTTTTTTTTTCGTTAACATAAGTGAAGTTTTATAAATTTTTAGGTAATTTAAATGAATAAATGTGTAATTGCCTTTTTACCGGTGTAAATAAATCACCAAGTTAGGACGGTCACTGAGAATAATAATAAACGACAAATCAAACCTATGAGTAATGTACTTAATTAATAATGCATCTAGTATAGCATATATAACATACGAAAGGGAAAAAATGAAGTGCCGAGAGGAATATACGCGGCTGAAATTCACTACGCTACTTTTTCATTTACTATTAAAGTGGATTGCATTCGGAAGGAGAGCGCTCCACGCGTTTTTGGGTGAAAAGTAGCGAAATCGCAAAAAGTATACCTGCGTGACGTAATGGCGGCTTTAGCTTGAAATAAAAAGACGAAGTGGAGACCGCCGCGAGGAGAAGACGAAGCGTTCTCATTATATCGTAGTGATTTATGCGCGCGCTAGGAGAAGATTTTTCGGATGGCGGAGGAGGACACGAAAGTTAAAAGAAAAATAAGGCTTATGGGGTGCAAAGTTGAGAGACGAGAAAAGCTCTGAGTTGAATATACATTATGACACTGGAAATTTTCACTGGCTTGACTTGTATACAGGACTTTGGCTCTCATCACGACATCCTCCTTTTTTTCTATTTTTTTTTTTCATTCATTATTATTCTTTTTTTTTTTCTTCATCGTGAATCTACCTAATAGGCATTTAATTTAAATATCTGAAAATGAAAATGTATCGTTTCTTCAAAAATACTTTGTATATTAAAATATTTTGAATGTCACGATGCGGTTTTATGTGCTCGACTGTCGTGGTCTAGTGTTATAAAAAAATGTTACTGCATATAATTCATATATTTTAATGTTTAATAATATTTATGCATAAAGTCGGATTGTTTGTATAGAAAAGGATCTTTATGAGTATAATAGGCTTTACGAAATTTTACTAATTAATATACATTAGAAAGAAAAGATATTTATTTGAAATACTTTTTAAATAAATTGTACAAATTAATGTATAACGATGACATCAGTTATAATAAATATCGCTAAAACTTATTTATAAATTTATATTTTATGCTTAAACTCACCCATTTAATTTATAAAATCTCGCAGAGACACATGAAGTCGTCCAATTTGCATTTATTTCACATATTTCATTACCTTTCCTTATTTCCAAATTAACTAATTTCATAACTTCCAAGCAATTTTTGTCAAACTATTATTCAAAAGATTAATTCTTTACAATAATGATAAAAGGAAAATTGTTAAACAAAAAAAAAAAAACTCAAAAACAGTCAATAATTTCCTATTTTACCACTTTGACTTTGAATGTAATGCTCATATAAATCAAACATTATAATCTTATAAGAGACATGGCACTTCTTTGTCAAGAAAGTCATGTTTTCAAATGTAGTTGAAACTACATTTCCCCCTCTTAACAATCAATATCATATCATAATGATCGCATTAGCTTTCATATATGAATAATATATGGAGATTGTCAAAATTTATTACTTTTTTTTTTTTTATTGTTGATTATCATAAACATTAGTGAGTAAAATTGATTATAATTGTAAGATGAAAGTAAAAATAAAAATACCTTATTTCTTAATCAATATTTAAACGTACCTTTTTATCATCTTAGCAACAAAATGTCTTATTACATTAATTAACTTTCATTATTGTGATCACGTCAATCTAATCTTTTCATTATTTTCAATTTCATTATTATAGAGAAATCGGATAGTGTGCTAATCGAAGTTTCCGTTATTTCTGAAACAATTCTTAGATATCTCAAATAATCTGTCCTAACTGTACAGTTTACGGATGGTCAAAGAAAAATAACTCTTTTTATCTACACATTAAATCTTTATTAAGAAGTAATGAGCTTTTAAGTATTAACATAATGTAATAATTAATTATTGGTTTTTAAATTATATTAAAACCTTGCTCTATTTATTTATAGCGCTTTTGATTGAATTAAATATTAACATTTTTATCTTAATTTTAGACAGTAATGCATATTTTATGAAAACTTAAATTTTTTCAAATTACATCAAAACGTATAAAAATAATTGAATGATAAAACCTTTATAATTTTGGCAGAAACTAAAATAAAAAAAGTGTTGGACATTTAAAAGCATGAATTGTGTGGAATGCGTACTATCCGTATTTCTCTTTAATTAAAAAAAAAAAAAAAAAAAGACAGCAAAAAGAAGAGAAAATGAAAAAAAGGAGAGAAATAAAAACCTTAGATAATCGAACAAAAGTCTACCTCAGGTGCATTGAGTTAGGCCATTTACATGAAAACGTGAAAATGAAATTGTTGAGAGATAAAAACAATGAGGCAGAAAGGGATGGATTGAAGCAAAGGCAAAATGATATGTAAAAAGTTCACGCTAAAACGCGTTTAACCGAGCGCATATAGAAAAACATGACCTAATACCTAAAAAGTTTTTGGCCATGTTCGTCTGTAGAAAAAACTTTGAAATTTTGTGTACCTATCATGCCATTAGATACGAAAAAAAAACTATGATAAAGTACATCGTAATTATTATATTTTAATACATACCTTTGACTTTCATCATCATCTCTTTAACCTTTAAAATCAATCTATCACGATTAATGAAATTTTGCATTAACAGTACGTAAGCTCAAATTTTCTCCCTTTTCCTAATTGAACTATTTCACTTGTGAACATTATTATTATAAAGTGTATACACCTCGGAAATTCTTTATTTCCGTATTCTTATTCTAGAATTTAGAACTCCTCAAGTGCAACAACAATTCCATTTAATAATAATAATAATAATAATATATATATATATATACCAGGAGACGCAAATTACTTATTAAAAGCTATACATTTTAAGTAACAATCGCAGAATCAACAGACATGATTTGAATTCACTTCTGATAATATCGCAGTTTATTTCAGTTTCAAGTCCCCCAAGATAATTAATTAAACCTCCGAATGATTGAGAAAATACTATTAATATTGTAGTTACAGGGGAAATGAATTTTCGATAATTTTAATTAGTAAAATGTATTCATTACAGGGGCACATTGGCGAGAGTCCATTCGACAACGGCTCCTGGGGGAAGGATCATTTTCATCCGACGACTGTTCCCTGGCAGGTGAATCCACGCGGCCACGGCCGAACGAACGTGAGTACTTTAAGGCTCCTGTTTCCTTCCGTCTTTAAATTATTTAGGATTCTCCATAGTGATATACCAATCAATCTGACTTTTGGTGGACCAAAGTTTATCAATTGCTTAACATTCTTTAATGTTACGTTCCTTAATACATCATAAGCTTTGAAAAATATATTATCAATCGAATCGAATTGTTTAATCGCACTCGCGTTTAAATGACTTTGAAACATTTGCTAAAAAATATCATTGCTAAAAGTAATCATTAGGTGCAATATTAAAACATCAATTTGAAATCTTTCTATCCAAAGATTCGCATTTAACCAACGAGGGATTAGTCAAGAGTACAGTCAGTGTTGAAAGAACTTAATCTCTCCCTCTTCCTCCCTTCTCGCTCTCTATCTATCTATCTATTTATCTATCTATCTAGCTATCCTCCTTTCCTCTTATCCAGCTTCTCTTCGCCGCATATACACACGAACGCACAGTAAGCTTTTTCTCCTTTCTCCGATAAATGCGAATCTAAGACCGATAAAGCGCCAGGAGCTGTTGCGGTCATTTAGATGGCTATGAAAGTGAGAGAATAAAAGATAAAGAGAGAGAAAGAGAAAGGAGAGCACTTAATCCT